TAAGAGTGTTTTATCAATTTCCTCCCCTACAATCATGTCCCTCTGTGATGAACTGAATTCACTGGACATTAGGAAAAGCAAGCACCTGTTTATATAATGTGCCACAATAAATGAGAGAGTGCAAACCGATCCATGTGGCTGACAGAGCTGTCAATATTCAGTGAGACACAAGGTTCAAAGCCCCAACACTCTTCATGGGGGCGCAAAGTCCAACATGAACAATCAGAGACAAACAGGCTTCGGTCAGACAGGAAATCAAGAAGCCAGTGTTCAGTGGTGAGGAGGAACCTTACAGGAGGATAACATGGACACAGAACTCTGTGCTTTTAGGAACGGTGGACTGGAGCGGCTACTACTTAATGAGATTTTATCAAAAGACAGCCGAACCCCTGTCAGACCTCCAGACGTCTCACAGTGTTGGGGATATAGAACCAGGCAGGGACAATGTTTCACATTTTAACATTACATAAAAAACTGGTATTACGCACGTTACCAGAATGCTGTAGAAAATGTGGAAAACCTGAAAGGCTCATAAAACTTTCAGAGTAAAAATGGTGGACGTGGGTAGATGTAAATATTGGTGCAATGCTCTTAATGGTGTCAGATTAATACTAGCACAATAGAATTCTTTTCATTCTGCACGTTCAGCATGTGTTAATCATTTTTTGGTAATTAAAAAAAGCATCTCAACCATGCACTATGAAAAACGTCTGAATCTTTTTGTGTTGATTGTCACGTCCATATTATTCATAGCATCAGGGTATGTGAACAACAGAAGCTGACCTGAAGTCCTGCAGAGACAGGAATATTTATTATACAGGTCACAAAAAACCCCGTTTTAAGCTGAAAGGTATGTTTTGTTAACTCATTATCTCACACACTGCTCTCCCCTACATAAGCAGCCTTTATGGGTTAAAAGTATTGGCAATACCGGCCCAGTATTTACTTGATATTGGATCAATACCAAAATCTGCAATATTGCATAGCACTAGACTAAAGGCAATATTGGTAACTACAGGGAAGAGTTAAAAAGTACTTTCACAGTTGAACTTTTCTGCACACATACCTGCACAGTCAAGCTGTAGCAGACTCTAAGCAGACTCTTTCAATAACAGCAGCTGTCTGACTGAGCTTAAGGATAAAGGCCTGACACTGCAGGAGTAGCACTGTATTGACCCTGCTGGAGCAGTAGAAGCACTATTGATGTACAGTATTGATGGAGTCAAATAAGGCACAGCGCAATAAGGCAGTTTATGGCACAGGATGCTTCAAGCAAAGAAAGGCGTGACATCCTGGAAGGGAAATGCTTCTTTCTGAGGATTTCTGTGTCCATAACCTGTTTCCTAATGAAGCCTTTAGGATCACAAGGACACTGCATAATAAATGTGTTCTTCGATGCTGCACAGGGAATGGATTTCAAGAAGGCACCGCCTTCAATTTAGAGGGTGTGAAGAATAAATTTGTGTAGCTTAAATATTAAAGACCAAACACCCAAAACACTGTACACACCTGGTAGGTCTCATTGTTGGATACCAGCTCATAAATAGGTGTAGCCTTGGTAATCTGCAGCAGCACCGGCTCAGACTGCTGCCGCCCTTGTGCTGCCCTTGGGCTCATGTGGCAGAGGTGGCAGGACCGTGGGCACTGGCCTTGGCTGCTGCAGTCCATGCGGACTCCGGCTGCCATGCGCTTTGCTCCACTGTCCAGCAGACTGGCAATGTACGCAGGGTAGGTCAGCGTCCGGGGCTCCTTGTCGCGCTCCTTGTCGCGCTCCTCGGACTCCTCTGAAGGTGAGTTACCTGAATATACAGAAAGAAGGGAACTGTGTCACTAATTAACTGTCGTTTCTCCAGAGCTTGCCAAAATCAAAAGAAGGTTAATAACGCCAAAATCAAATCAAAAAACCCACAAAAGTCATTCCAAAGAACTTTTATTCATAATATTATTAAAAATAGCCGTGTGCATAAGATACAGAGATGGTGATGTCACATGTTTACGGTAATGAGATTAGGGATTAAGGGAATGAAAAAAGCTGAACTGGGAGATTTTTTTTCTTCTGCGGCAGCAGGCAAAGGCACAAAGCAGTAATGCGTTCCCACATTCCCATACCGCCCTTCTAGAGAGGCTGTAGTCTTTCTGCATCACATGCACAATGCATGAGCAGGAGTGTAAATATTTGAGCTACAAATGCAGCTAAAATATGTTTTATGTTTCATAGCAAGTACGGTTATATCAAAGGATGACGTGTTGTAATAATATGACTATTATTGACTTAATTTCCCTACTTAGTCTGTGGCATTGGAGAAAAATGCATCATTATCATCAGATATCTTTATCTTTGGGCTGAACTTTGCTGCTCAACCCACAATTGTAGCATCATTTAAGGTGAAGTCAACAGGCTTTCCAACGGTATAAGATTTATTGCCCAGAAGCATTTTTATAACAAAGACATAATCAACCAAACACACATTTCCTTACTTTTTATACTGCGTTTCTATCTATCTACAGATGGAGACTTTACAACATTATTTTAGAATTTGGATACACTGAGATGAAAAGCCGGTGGACCTAATTCTCCAGCTGGTTCCCAGCAAAGGAGGACACAACATCATTAAGTAAATAAGAGTTTAAAGAGCATCCCAGCATCAAATGATAATATGGAAAAATTGAGGGAAAATCTAAAAATCACATTTATTTCACCTGATCATTAGAGAAAGATTTATATTCCACCTAGGCTTCTGGATTCCTTCTAACATTTTGTTGTCATTCTTTTGAAATGAGACACAAACCTTGGAGACAAATAGACAGCATCCACCCTGATCCCAGAGTTCAGATTGAAACTCTGGGATCAGATCTCCTAAAGTGAATAATGCAAGATAATGAAGCTGAGTTAAGTCCAGTAGTGATGCAGCTTTAGGCCAGATGGTCTTTCTGGGAAATTTACTGAAAAAATCATGACAAAAACGTGATTTGTCAACCTTAGAAGCCACATTGCTTTTACTCCTTTTAAGCAGAACAACAAATTTCATGTCCAAATGGAAGTCCTTCCTCCTTTTGTGTACCTTGGTGTGTAACATTAGTTAACTTGGCTAACAGAGCAGCCCACTGTGGGCAGCTCTGCTGTCTGTGACGTGACCGTGTTAATGTGCACGGCCAAGAGTCGCTTTTGGGACAGTGGCAGTCAACTAACAGTAGGGCACAGTTACTGACATAAACTTGGGCTCAGGATGAATGTTTTACCTGTCGTTTTATGCAACTGCTTTTATTTATTTTTTGGCATGAGATTATTTATGACATAAATTGATAACGTTGCGACGAACAGAGATGGGCAGTACGTGTTACTGTAATCCGATTACTTTTTTCAAGTAACGAGTAAAGTAAGGGATTACTATTGCAAAAACGGTAATTAGATTACCGTTACTTTCCCGTAGGAACGCTGCGTTACTGCGTTACTAAAACCGTGATATTTTGCATGAATGTCTCATGACAGTGACGTAAGCGAGTGTTCGTGACAACAGCTGTGTGAAGATCAACAAAGTGCAGAGAGAGTATGAGCGTGCAGCGTTTAAAGCGTGGAAGTACTGATCTTACTTTGAGTTTGGTTCCATAAAAAGTGACAAAAACATGAGTGTCCGCTGTGCGTGGGAAGAAAACTTCTTTTTACAGCGAACAAAACCCCTAAACTTCCAAGCAACTCACAGAGAAACTCGCGGATTCTTCCACTGACCGCGGCACACCTGCACCAGGGTAAACCTCCGCCTACCCC